CCTATGTTGTTTATTTATTTTTTAATTAATTAATTAATTTATTTATTTGTGTGTGTGTGTGTGTGTTTGGCCAGTTCAGCCCACCAGGGGGTGGGGCTGGCTGGCATGTGGTGCTGGGGGATTGAACCACGGTCCCTGTGCTTTGCTAAGCTTGTTCTAAGTAGGTGCTTTAGACCACTGAGCCATCTCACCAACCCCCAGTATTTGTTTTGAATATCTACTTCAAAAATTATCCTTGGGTCCTGGGGAGATATATATAGATATATATAGATAGATAGATAGATCTATATATATATCATATAATTCAATTGTTATGTTTTTGTGCATAGTTGTTTCCCAAAGCCTCATGCAGTCTTGGGGCAGCTTCTGGAGTGTGATTAATTATTGTGGGTGTGGATGCTGCATCTGCCCTGGGGCAGGTAATTTGCATTTCAATGTAAGGAGGGAAGAGAACCTAGCTGCTAGAGCTACTGCTACTCCTCCTTTTGTGCTCATGCTCTTTGCTGCCACCAAGAAAAGTTGCTTTCTGCTATGTGCTGCTGTGTCTTGGACCTAGCTGAATATGGGTGTCATGTATTTGTCCCAGCAACGAGAGAAAAGTAACTAAGACATCCATTCATTGAATACATTGCTCTGCTGAGGTATCTAACACATCTTCTTCTGTACTCTATGAAAAGTTGCCCCAAACTAGGGAGTTTGTACCAATTGAGTCCAGTCTATGAATACCATAAACTGCCTGCTACTGAAACACCCAGAAGTGTCTGCCCTTTGAAAGAAAAAAGGCAGGAACTACAGAGAACAGTCACTTGATAACCTACCCTATTTCCACATTTTAAACAGGCATTGTCCTTCACTTTAAACTTCTAAATTTCTGTGAGTTCTTCCCATGCAAACAGGATGTCTGTAGAGAAAGGTCTATGTCAGTGTCAGCAAGCAAGCCACCTTCATTTCTCTAGAGCCAGGCCCTTGTTTACAAAATTTGCAACACAGGATGACACACATAGGTTTTTGAAACAACTGCTAGTCTTCATACCGTCCCATGGAGGATGAGGTGCGTGCGGGCTTTTTGAAGAAGCAAACAAGAACAATACCCATCCTACTTTGATTCCCCCGACAAGTAAAATAAAGTTTTATTTATTTGCGGTACGGGGGATTGAACTCATGATCTTGCACTTGCCAGGGAAGTGCTTATTCTATTGAGCCATCTCCCCGTCCCCTCCAATCCTGTTCTTACTGCCCTGTGACAATCTGATCAGGTTCCGCGTGTGCGGGACACCGAGGGTTCGTCCCCGCTACCGAAAGGAGTAGAAAGGCGGGCTGACCGTCCCCAGCGTGCGGGTCCTGTCACCCTGCTGGGAATCGCGAGAGGCCCGGACGCACCCCCCCCACACACACACACACAGGGACGCGGGGTCCCGCTGTTTACGGCCTCGGCTGCTCCGGAAGTGGCTGAGGAAGGATGGAGAGCGAGCTGGGAAGGTCGACTGCGGCCGACTGTTTCCACACCATGAGGCCTT